TATATATATATATACAATGGAAAGTCCCACATCTGGAATCGTTGAGACTTAGACAAGTCCGGAAATAGATTTTTCTGGATAATAGGTCTTTAAGGTAAACTAACATAAAAACAACCTTATTCAATAAAAAATAACAAATGGAAGATAATTAAAATCAATTTCAATCAACAACGTATATATTACACGTAGTTTGTCAATTGCTATTTTAGCAACTATTGTTATTGTATTGTTTTTAAAATCTTGATATTTTAATATGCCATTACAACATACTGCAAATTACGAATCACACACTTCAGTTAGTAATAATTTTTCCGACGATTCCACAGTGAATCTGTATGCTCTAATACATTATTTCGTTCAGAAATTTTTGAGTTGCACATTTTGCACTCGATTATTAATGATATATCCACAATCCCGTGTGGATTTACAATTACATTTTGGTCAATTATAGCTACAGATTTTCATTGCTTTTTAATGTTACATTATTATACACGAGAAATTTCGAATTGCACACCTTATTTATTTATTTATTTGATTCACTCAACTAGGGGCGATTTTTGCTATCCACCTGGTTTTGTTATATGCATTTTCAACAGCTTGAAATTTCCACATTTTTGATTTAATATAATATATAATCCTATTATGATGTGTGAATTCTGATTCCCGCTTTTGAAAAATCACTTTAAGGCACACTATAGTCATGACAATTTCCTCAAATCTGCAATCTTTTCAAAATGTGAAATTTTTGCACACTCTGAAATTGAGCGTGTGATTCTAGGCAGTAATAATTCATCCTTTCATGTGAAGAAAAATACATGATTTTTTTGTGATGAAGTGAAATGCCAAATTTTGTTTTCGTGATATCCTATTTTTTCATATTATGGCGGAAATCGAATTAAATCAAACAAAAGTTGGAAAATGGGAGAAAAACATTAGGCGGAGAACTCTCATATCTGCATAATTTTTTAACAGGTCGGAAGTAAAACAAAAAAAATTATTTCAAAAAAGGGAATAGTTTTGTTTAGTTTGATTGTTGGGCGATTCTTTCGTTACGTGTGTTACTTTTACACGACATATTTCAACTTTAACACTTATTATAATAAACTTGTTAGATATTTTTTATGTTTTTCTTAATTTGTTGTTAAATCTATATGTGTTGTAAGTTTACAAAACGAAGATTGAATTCGCAAATTAATTTGATGTTGAAAAAAAAAAATTCTGAAATTTTGTTACGTGTGTTACCCTTTATAATGCTAGATATTTGAAACTTTGAATATATTCATTTAATTCTGTGAAGTATAAAGGCAAAAAATTAAGATATTTTCTTTTATAGAGAGATACAATATCGAAGCTGTGTTTAGTGATTTTTAAAAATTTCTTGCAACAGTAAAAACTTCTTTATTTTGGTGAAATTGGTGCGTTACGTGTGTTAACTGAACGTTACGTATGTTACCCTCTGTGAATATTTCAACTGAGAAGTCATAAATGTTGCACTAAAACATTTATTTATTTTAATTTAGCAGAAGAAAAACAATTTATTCTAGCAAATAAAATAGTTAATGGTCTGGAAAGATGGTTGTAGCCCTTCTTTATACTGGTTTAGAGAGTAAAACATAGCAAATCTTAGGCACATCTATTCCTTCAAAATCATTTCTGTTTGGAAACAAAAATATGCATATTTTCCAATTATTTTATGCAAATATTGCATTTTAAGTTTAGAAGCATGTGCATTTGCGTCAATAATGTTCCCGAGATAGAGCATATGTCGTTTTAATTTCAGTTATAGGTACACTTCTGATCAGGAGGGAACAGAAATTGACTTACTGACTATTTGTGTGCCACAATGTGCATCTATGCATCTTATTCAAGTATCTAACGATACTTATGCATAGATTTTATGCTTTGTATTACCGTTGCCATGTATTGATCTTTTCAATTAATATCTTTATTTCCTTTTGGCTAATATATAATACTGTTGTATTAGGCATGAGTTGATTGATTAGCTTTGCAAACAACACTGGATAGCAAATAAATTTTTTTGCATAACAACACAATGATATAAATAACTTTGCTTTTTGCTTCGCTTTCAAGATTTTGTAATACACACCTATCCCATAGAAGGAACTTCTGCATGTGATATCGTAAAATATTTCCAAATTAATTTCTTTTTCTATATTTTGATTGACAAAATATGAAATAATTCAACCATATATTTATTTTTAAATTCTTAACTTGACTTATTACTATAGAAGGTTTCTGTTAGCTCATCTTCTGAAGTAGAATCGTTTTTAAACAGTCTTAAAATAAAAGTGTAGACATTGTTTCACCTTTGTCTTTGCCTTAGGAAAATATTGTAAAGGACTCTATTTTAAACTCTTTAGGAGAGTATCGTCTAAGACAACAGCTGCTGTGAATAACGGAACTGTGGCTGGATAGCATAATGCTGATTGAAATTCGTTTTGATATTCAAAAGAATATGCCATTGCAAAGTCAACTTGAATTTCCCTGGTTTTAATGCTAGATATGTTTGTTTGGAAAGTATCACCTCGGATTCTTTTAACTCTTACGTATTATTGAAAGTTAGTCCAATTTTCAAGAGTTATTTCAAAACATTCTTCTTGCACATTTGCCATTATATATTTTTTATTGTGAGCTATTGTCATCTTTTTCTCATCGTTACCAAACTACAATAAATGATGGTTAGAAACCTATAACAAGCAATGAGAAATTTTTGTAAGTATCAGAAGCACCCTTCCAACAATTAGATCCAAAATTTCTTTTACTTTATATACATAAATACTTCTACCATCACCATGTATTGTCATAAACTTAATTTTAGCCTTCCAGTTAAAGAATAAAAATTTCATGATATTTGTTTTGATTCTAAGTTTTACAGTAGCAATAAATTTTTTAGTCATAAAGCACTAAATATGGAAAATTAAACAATGTTTAGGATGCAACTGACAAAAATCAGTATAAGCCTCTCTTAGAAACATTGTTAGATAGTTCTTTCGTTTTATTGCCCGTTTTTCCCCGTAATAATCCAGAGAACCAGCTCTTGTTTCAATACAAGCATAGTATAAACAATCTAACTTTTGAAGAAAATCCATTTATTAATAATTAAGTTCATCTGAAATACTTAGTGGTGAACCTTTTACATCATTATCAATCTGTTTTGAAAGTTCAAGTCTAACTTTCATTATTTCCTTATTTTCTTTCCTTTGAAGTGCAGAATCTTATGCTCTTTTCTTTTTTTCTTCATCTTCTTATTCTTTTAAATCCAGATAAGGACACTATTTTAAGCTTATCCATTTTATAATAATCTAGCAAATGCAGTCGAAATATTCTACTTAAACATAAACGTATAACAAATAGAAGTTTGGGAAAACAATTTCCAAAAGTTTCAAAATTATCGTCTTATTATGCTGTTTTTTTATTAATGCTTATACCGACCTGATTTTACAAAAAACCACAATCTTACAATTCCGTATTTGTGGCATTGAAGTTGCGCGGCGGTTATAAAAAATGTCCGAACATGATTTAAATCTTTTATTGAAAATAAATAAATAATTAAAGTGTATAAGTACCTCTAACACACATAACAGTAACGCGCGTAACTTTTCGTTACGTGTGTTACCTTGAATAAAATTAATTATAAAATTTTAACTATTGGCAGTTTTAATTCGAGAATTTTTTCCGTTGCATATCTTGCCTTCTTAATTTATAAAACAAAAAATTTTTAAATTTTCTTTTTTACTAAAGTTTTTACAGAAAAAAATGCAAAATTATGTTACGTGTGTTACTGGGAAATTAGACTATCTTGATTAATCGACTTTCAAACAAGCAAAAAAATTTAGGCCAAATTAAAAAAATACATTAAACAATGATAAAAGAGTAAAATAGTTATATTTATTACTAAAAACTATTTTATTGCTCTTTAATATTTTAAGAACTCCATTGGAATATAACATAACAAAGAAGAGAACTCCTGTTAAAATTCATAGTGTTCCACCTTTTGTTAGAATTCACATAAATATTTTTTGTAATTCAAAAAACTATCTTAACTATTAAAAAATGTACATCTTCTAGATTCCGAAATTGTGTCATTTTTGATTTTACGATAATTTTGAAGATTTAGTCACTCAGGACCACTTTTCGTGGAATCGCCCTGTTACTAAGTGTCTGGAAAAGATACCTTTCTGGAAAATGAATGTCTGGATATGGAACTTGGTACTGCATGTAAGTATGTGTACAAATATACTGAGATGACAAAAGTCATGAAATAGCAATATACAAATATACAGTTGACAGTAGTATCACATACAAAATGTGTATATGGGTAGAACACTGGTAGGACTTACCCGTGTTTAAGATATCAATGTGAAAATTTTTCTGTGCAGTTATGACCATAAGATGAGAATTGACAGACTTTGAATATGGAATTGTAGTGGGAGCTAAATACATGGAACATTTCATTTCGGAAAGTGTGAGGGACTGCAACATTCCCAGATCTACTGTGTCAAAAGTGTGCCGAGAACACCTAATTTCAGGCATAATTTCACATCATGGATGAAGTAGTGGCTAACTGTGTGCACCTAATGACCGAGATCACCAACTAAGTGCAGAACTGTCAGATAAATAATATAGGGCCAATTAACAACAAGCATCAATGTGGTACGTGTCCATTAGAAGAGTGCAGCAAAATTTGGCTGTTATGGAATATGACAGAAGACTGACTCGAGTGTCTTTACTAACAGCACATCCAATGCTTCTCCTGGGCTCATGACCATAATGCTTGAACCCTAGACTGTAAAACCTTAGTTTGGTCAGAGAAGTCACGATTTCAACTGGTTAAAGCATATGGGAGAGTTTGACTGTGGAACGAACACCACAAAGCCATGGTTCCAAGTTGTCAACAAAGCATTGTGGGGGTGGCTTGCTGCACTTCATAGATCTAGAGGAGGTCCGACACAATATTAAGAGGTATCCCAAGGCTTTTGTCACCTCAGCATATGTTTATATATAGAGAGATTTAAAAGATAAGCTAAATCCATTAATTAGAAAGTACTTAATTTCATAAATACAGAGAAGTATCCCCTAAAAGGGGGTAACCATAAGTATCGATACAAAATAATCAAAAATGTGGTCGTCTAAGTTATTTTCGTGTTCCAAATAGTGTAGTTTTAACTATCAGATGACCTACATACATTTGCATAAAAATTTTGTGCCAAGCTTTGCTTTGTCTCTCACATTTATGTGAAGATAAACATTATAAACAATGCTTTAGAGCTTAAACATTCTCTTAAAGAGCAGAGTTTAATCAGTAGAATAGTAAAAAAAAAATTTAAATAGCTAAATCGGCTATTTCTTTTTCAGAATAATGAAATATGAAAATAGAAATTAAACAGTAAGCAATTTAGAAGACTTAAAGAAAAGGTATGCTTATTTTAAAGACTTGTACAACAATATACTTTACAACAACTAACCTGATCATGCTACAAATGTATTCTAAAGATAACGGAAATTCTTCCTTTGACAATGCTTCTAACCCACCATACAATACTTCTAAAAGAGCACTTGAATAAGCAAATATCTTTATTAATCTCAATTCTGATGGATTCTTTATAATTACTTCAGCATCTATAAAAAAATGTGTTTAAAACTAATTGTAACAAATTATTTAATTAGTTCTATCACAAAGTAATATGCTTTTTTACCTTTAGAGTTCAATAAAATATGTTCACACATTTTTGCTATTGATATTTGATTTAGCAGAGATACTAGATCACCATCAGACCAATTTTTAGTAAGTTCAAAATGCTCTTCCTACAAATATTTTAAATAAAAGCAAAATTAATTAAAACTAATATTTCTTAATTATATTTCTATACATTATAATATTAAATACATATTATAATAATTTCTTAATACATTAATATATATATAAATATATATCAAAATAAGTAAACTACAAATTAGTTAACTAAGTTGACTTTACAAATGATGAACACACAACTGAAATTTTATTAAATATGTCTATAATTAAAAGTGATCACAAGATGAAAATTTCCAGACTACAGAAAAAATTATCTTAAATTAAACAAAATAAATTAATTTAAGAACACTAACAAAACTTTGTTGCCCTAATAACCTGTCTATTCAATTTTGTAAAATAATTAAATGGATAATTTAAGTATAACCTATTTAATAAATTTAACTGTTTTCTGTTGAAGCACTTTTTGATGAAGTTACAAGAAGTTTTTGATTACATCATATTCTAAAAAGTGCAACAAAATTAAAAATGCCAAGTATCCAACAACCGCAAGACTCTAAAAAAACTGAACATTAACATAAAAAATTAATATTTAAACCAAATCAGTCAGTTAGGAATCATATAAATTATAAAAAGCCATATATCACAATGTTACTTTCTCAAAATCTAGAAAACAAATTTATATTTTGTCAAATATGATTTTTTTACTTCAAGTGGAAGTGTAACAAGTTTTATAGTTAAAAAATTCTTCGGTCATTTTTAAACTCAACTATTTTTGAGAATTGTATTTACGATTGCTCAAAAATATGTTTTGCATGAAATGATCATTGGATAAATGAATAAGTAATTCATTTATCCAATTCAATAAACAGTTTATAAATGAATTCAAAATAAGTTTTACTTTCACATTCAGTTTCAGAGAAACAGTAAAAATGAGAGTGTTCAACAGTAATAGGAAAATATTATAAAGAGATTTAGTAAATAAGTCTATTTGTGTTCATATTTTTTTAAAATCACACATCATGATTCATGCATATATGCATAAGAATACATTAGAAATTTATCAAATACAGCACTGTTTTATAAGCTTGGTTAGAGATAAAATTTATAAACTATACTATCTTTATACATGCATACATAAAAATGCATGTATAGAAATACAGTACAGAACCCGTTTATCCGGAAATCAGAAAACCGGAAAACCAAAAAACCGGAACGAAATTGGATAAATTTTCCCGCCATTTTTTAAACAAAAAATTTTTTTCCTCATAAGATTTTAGGATTTTTCTTTCTTTTTTGAAAGATGTTCACCTTACCATCATTTTGGAAATAATCANTTTCTTAAGTTGCATTTGTGCCATTCATTCCCTTTTGGCGTAATTCGTTTGAAAATCACGAATTTTTTTTATAAAATGTTTAATTTTTATAGAACTCTATATTGATTTATCCTACAAGGATGTTATCCGGAATAGCGATGGTCCCGATCGTTCCGGATAATCGGTTCCCTACTGTATATTGATTCTGAACTTAGGAGTTATTTTACAAAAGCAAAAATAAAAAGCTGGTTATAAATTTAAGTTATCAGTTATTTAATGCATAGTTTTTTATGCAACGAAGATAAATATTTATTAACCAAGGAATATATGATTCAAAGGTAATAGATGATTTTACCTCGAAAAAGTGGGAGTTTTTAATTTCTGTTCACTAATATTTTATGGGGTGGTAAACAGGATTACACATTGGGGATCTAAATTATTTCCAGAAAATATGTTTTCCAAGAAAAATGGAGAGAATATCATTTTTTTTATGGTTTAAGATAGAAAATTTCCTACCAACTCTATACCTGCTATCGGTCAGAAGGGAAATAAAATAAAGAATTATGAGTATGGGAATAATGACTATAACACTGGAATGATGTCTCCTCTCATTACTTCAGCAGTGGTAACTAGAAAATTTACAGAGGCTTGAAATTTATAGAAAAATTCTTTTATGGGATTTAGTAATATATATAAAAAAAATTCTTTCATCCCTTGAGAGGAAAACTATCCCACTCTCCCCAACAGTCCATTTTCATTACTAAACCTTCTCTGAAAATCATAATTTTAAAAAAGTAATAATATTTCTTTATCTTTTGTAAATTTTTCACTTAATATGTACTTCCAACAACACTCATATGAGTTTTCCCACACCCTCATCAATTCATTCTCAACTCCTGAGTAGAGAGTTAACCCCTTAACCCCCACACATTTCAAATAACCATAATTTTCTTAAAAACTTTCCTATAACCAAGATGTTTAGTCTCTCTCTTTTAATCTGCGTGTAAATCAAGAAAGTTTTTTTCCCCAATTTTATACTTATTCTAAGCAACAAAAATGGTCCTCCCTTCCTCAACTGTCTCACACCCTAAAATCAAAATTTTAAGAGCATTTTTCACTTAATATTTAAGATCTTTTTTGTTAATTTTTAACTAATTAAAATTTAGAATATGAATCTTAATATTCTGATGCAAATGAAAAGTTTATATGAAGCAAAAATAATAATCTAACAAAGTGAAATTGGAAAAAATCATTTAATCAGCATATTTGGTACAAAGTTGGTTGACTTTTCTAATAATTATATCAATGTTTTTTAAGGGTGAAATGTATTTTTCAGTTCAATATGAATGATGTTATTCTGAAGTTTTGTTTTTTGTAAAAAAAAATGCTAGGTTTCTAACAAAAAATAAAATTATAGCCTCTGGGTTGCTATATTCAAGTTTTAAGACCTAATCATTGCTAAGCAATGAAACTATAAACTAGTTAAATTCTGTATGCGGTATGTCAAGTTAATTTAGATTATAAACTTTTATTTTAACCATTACTATCTATAGTATTCCAAATTTTTAATAAAAAAGTAATAATATAAACAAGTGTATAACAAAAAGAGGAGAGACTTTAAGGCATATACACACATTTTACTTGACCATTGATTTTTCATACAATGAATGTTAAGGACAGGAATGATAGATGCTTTACAAAATGAACATGTGAAAATGAAATTAAGATTTTAGGTATATTTATTATCTTTCTTTCTTTATCTGTGGAAGAGTTCAACTTGACTCTCCTTGAAAAATTAACAGCAGATATAGAGATAAATATTATAACCAACCTAGTATATCATGCACATTATTATTATGCGAAAATGGTAATTTTTATACTAAACTTAGAAAATAAAACTTTTGTTTCAATTTTTTTTTTTTACTTTGTTAGATTGTTATTTTTAGATCGATAACAATATGATATCGACATAGTTGGAAGAACAAAGCGCTCAGTCATTGACGCTTTTGTAGCGCTTGAGAGTGCGGCGAAGGAGATGGGACTAGTTATAAATGCAGACAAAACCAAGTTTTTGATCGCAACAAATAAAACTCCTGATCGATCTCCTCTGGAGATAATGACTTACTCTTTTGAAACTGTTAACCAGTTCAAGTACCTAGGAACCTTGATCTCTAGCCACAACAACCTGAAAATCGAAATAAATAACAGAATTTCCATGGCTAACAGAAGTTTCTACGGCCTCAGAAACCAACTGAAATCCAAGTTCATCAGTGTGAAGACAAAGTTAAACATCTACAAAACTTTAATCAGGCCTATAGCTACGTATGGAAGTGAGTGCTGGACCCTAAGCAAAATAGAGGAGGAAAAACTGCTAATTTTTGAAAGAAAAATTTTGAGGAAAATCTTTGGATCTCTTCAAGAGAATAACGTATGGAGAATTCTTTACAACCACGAAATTTACAAAAAATATGACAAATTCGGTGGGACCGACATTGTGAGAACTATTAAAGCATCACGCATTAGGTGGCTGGGCCACCTCTTCAGAAATTCTGATGCCGTCCCTGCCAAAAAAGTGACTTTTTCCACAATTGAAGGGACGAGACGTAGGGGACGACCACCTACAAGATGGATAGACGACGTGGAAAAGGACCTCAAGCTGTTGGGAGTCAACCGATGGCGGGCCGTCGCACCGGACAGGGCCAGATGGAGGAAAATCTGCGAGTCAGCCTTGGCCTGTGAAAGGCTGTTGCGCTTATGAAGAAGAAGAAGATTGTTATTTTTGTTTTATGTTTTCATTTGTATCAAAATGTTAAGAGTCAAAATTTAACTTTTAATTGCTTGAAAATTATTAAAAAAAAACTTAATATTAGATAAAAAAAATGACCTTAAATTTGATTTTATGGGAAAAGAAACTTGGGGGGGGGACTACATTTTTGCTTAGAACAAGCATAAAATAACTGAGGAAAAAACATACATCTCTTACTTTATTTACACACAAATTAAAAAAAAGAGAGACTGAAAATCTTATTTCAGGAAAGTTTTCAACAAAGTTATGGTTATTTGAAAGGTGGGGGTTAAGGGGTAAACCTTTTCCTCAGGAGACGGGAAAACTAACAAGAGTGTTATCAGAAGTCTAAATTGAGGCGAAAACAGGAAAAAAATTAAAAATGGAAATAACTGGTTTTGGTGGAGATGTAGGAAAAATTATGAATATTGAGGGGGTGGGGAGTTCTCCCTGCAGGGGAGAAAATAAATTTTACTAATTATTACTAGATCCCACAAGAGAATTTTTTTTTATAAATTTTTAACCTCAATAAATTTTTCACCACTGAAGTAGTGAGAAAGATATCATTCCAATGCTATAGTCATATTTCTTTAATTTATTAAGTTATGAGCACATTGTAGGCATAGAATTGGTTGGGAATTTTTGCTAGTTTTCAAATATGCCATAAGAAATTTTTTTTACGTTAAACCACAAAAATATTTTTAAAAAATCTTGATTTTTCCATTTTTTTTTAAGGAAAATATATTTCTCAGAAAAACTTTTGGTTGCAAAATGTAAATTCTTGCTAAGCACCCCAAAAAGCATAAATATACAAAAAAATAAAAACTGCCAATTTTTCCAGGTATCTTTCATTTTTCAGCACTTTCGTCTTAACTAATATGTTCATGCAAAAAAATTAACAAAAATCTTGAAAACAATAAATATATAATGATGAAAATTATAGTATGCTACTTAAATCTATGACTATTTTATTAGACCAGAATTACATACTTCCTCTCCATCAGAGTCTAATACAGTGAATGCTACATCAATGCAATCTACTGAAGCAGCTCTCTCTTTCAAGTCTTTCAAGAAAAAATCTCGATCACTAGAGCAAAAAATGTCAAATTCAAATAAATGAAATCTTTCAATCAATATATATATTTAAAAAATAATTTCAAAAAACCATTAAGAGTCCATTTTATATTAATTGCAATTAAAAGTTTTCTAAAATAAATAGTTTTTTGATAAAATAAAAAAATTCCAAAATATTAAGTCTCATTAATTTAATCATCATAATATTAAGTCTCATTATTTCAATAAATTTAAAAGACAATAAATACACCTAAGTAAACAACAAATTTGAATCCCATTTTAAATTTACAACAAAACCTTGATAATTTAAATTACGAGCAATCTACATTAGATAATCAAAATTTTTGAATTAGAGAAGGTTAACTTTTTTGTTTCGATTATCCACTTCAATATTATTAGGTATTCAAGATAATCAGTTATAACATAAAATTTCCTTTTAACAAAAATTAATGTCATGACAGTTAAACTAAACTACTAATGCATAAGGAGATGAAAAAAGAAAAATTATAACTTTCATAGTCCGTCAGTATCTTTGGCAACAAGATTTTATTTGTTCTCACAGAAAATGGACATTCCTAGGAATCAGCTCATTAAATAGTAAATCATGCAGAACAAACCTAGAATAATTCAGAGTCTACATACAGTTGTGCAATGTAGCTAACTTGTCTTTATTCATCAAACATAATGATGCACTTATGGAATTTTTTATCATAACTAAAAATTCTTACTTTGCAATGTGAGGCACAATATTGGCATTGGCAGAAGCGGAATTTCTTTAAAAGACATAAAGTGTTTTGCTTTTTTTTTACTATCTGGAGTAATTTTTTAAACTATTTAGAATACTTTCATTGAATATGGGAGAAGCTGGAGTCTTCAGAAGCTTGAGCATCACAGCTTATATAAAAGCAAATTAAAGAGGAAAAAAACCAAATATTATATTAAAAATACACAAGAGTCAATTTTCAGGTTAAAAAAATAGACTTTAAAATTAAGAGAGATTTACTTGCTGTTTATTCAAAGAGGGAAGCAGAGAAAAAACTCAATAAAATTTCTGTAAAACTGCATTTTAGGTTCCATTCAGGGGCACTAAAAATTCAGGTTTTCTCCAAAAAAAATTTTTCTCAAATTAGCCAGCTTATTTCTTTTGTCATAGAAAAAAAAGATTAAATTAGATATTTTCCAATTTCATCACCAAAATCTGAATACTGCAAAAATTCCAATAAGTATTTGCAATTAAATAGTATAGCTTTTCTATTTAAGTTAATTTAGCAACATAAAAAAATAAGACTTTGAGAGAAGAATTTAATTTCTCTTTTGACTACCTAGCCATTTTAAGATTTATTACTCTTTGTTCTGAAAATAAAATCCCATTGAACTCAACTTACTAGTCCGGATTGACATCATCAACATCACTTCAGAATAAACAAAAATAAATCAAATGCTAACGAGAACTATCTGAATTCTGATGCCAGCATGTAACTTTTTAAGTTTGTTGTTCATTTGTATTTCATGGGGGAAAATGGAATTAATAAAAAACATTCTTTTGCAACTGTCACTTTTGTTTTTCCTTTTGAATTGCTGTTTTTAGATATTTCACTTTCAATTTTTATTTTTGTATTTACAGTAGGGAACCAATTATCCGGAATGATCGGGACCATCGCTATTCCGGATAACTGATTTTTCCGGTTTTCTGCATCGCTACAAAAAGCCGTTTTTTTAATTGTTAAACCAAACTGAAAAAAAAATTTTTTTGGATATAATCTTAAAATGAAGAAAAAACGATGAAATACACTAATGATTATTTCCAAAATGATGGTAAGGTAAACATCTTTCAAAAAAGAAAGGAAAATCCCAAAATCTTATGAGGAGAAAAAAAAAAATTTTTTTTTAAAAAATGGCGGGAAAATTTATCGAATTTCTTTCCGGTTTTTTGGTTTTCCGGTTTTCTGATTTCCGGATAACGGGTTCTGTACTGTATATGTTTTGTAGGTGCAGTTTTAAGATAGTTAACTAATCCAGTCAACCCATCGTACTTTAGCTTTAGAAAATGTTACAAATAATCTCGGCCTACATTCAAAGTATATTGTAATTCAATCCAATTACTAATTTTGCAATAGATATGAAAAAATTTATAAAATAAAGGTTAAATTTTAAAATAATGACTAACATTAAAGAGAGGGATCTATTGAAAAGTTGTATTCATAAATTAAAAATTTGTATTAAAAAATAAAGAGAATATATAAAGACAGGGATTGATTGAAAAAAGAATAAGAATATTTATTTGTAACATTTTTGAATATTAAAAGAAGTAATAACTTATGGAGGAGAATGAGTAATTGAATTTTATCATTTTTTATATAGTGTTATTGTTATATATTATAAACCATAATATAGAAAAATATAATTTTTTATAATATTTTTTATTTAGTAGATAGTTTATATACCTTAAATATGAATAATAATGAGAAAGAATTGCAATTTGTTACAGAAATTTAATATTATACCATAATACGAACAATGTGATATATTTCATACTTTCTAATCAATTGAAAGTTCAAGTAGTTTTTTTTAGTCAATTTAAGTAAAAGTTTAGCACAAACTGAAAACTGAATCCTTTAGCTCAAAAACTAATTTCAAGATAACAACTGAAGTATTTCTTCAGCAGAACTACCAGATAAAAAGACAGATCATTATAAACTAATCAGCAATGTTATGCAACATATTTCTAAGAATATTTTTACAAAAATGCCAGGATTGCCACAAAATATTAAAAATAGAGAAAAAAATTTTTTGTTTCAATTGATATTTGTTTTCATAGAATAGAAGAAAGAGTACCGTAAACCGGGGCGAGTCTACCCATTTTAGTTTTATTTAATTTTCACTATTTTAAATTGCAAATAAATTTTTTTTACCGACGGAGGACTTAGTTCAGATGGCGCTGTAGTAGAGTGATCCGTTTTTATTTATTTGGTGTCTTTTTAACCCACCTGTTCAAACGTCTTTTGAGAGATTTGTATTGAAAATCAGCAAACTTTTAGTTGGTGCTCCGTAAGTATATTATTATTATTACTATTTTCACTTTGGTTAAGTGATAAACTTATCTAAGACTAAGATTACATTAATTTTATATGAAAAAAAAAAAAAAAGAATGTAAGTTTTGCTGTTGTAAACAAAAAGCCAGAATTCGCGGGGCGAGTCTACCCATTCGTATTTAGTTTTAATAAAGCATAATAATATAATTTAGAACTTTGTTTATATTAAAATTAAGTCATTTTAAATGAATTTGAGTATATTATTTTAATTCTGCATTGATAAATTTATCATTAATAAGAAAATTTATAGGTTAAATATAAATGTAAATATAAAATATGTTTATTTTACCTATTTTTTCAATTTTTATATTACAAAATTAACTTTTTTTATTTAATGCAAGTTAAATAAATTATTATTTATAAATTATTATTACCTCCCAAAAGAATGGGAAAAGGATTTTTCATGATTCCCAATGTTTGAATTTCGATTTTGTTAATAATCTTTAATTATTATTATTTATTAATTATTTAATTGTAAATTTATATTAATTTTAATTTATTTTTATCAACAATAATCAGAAAAAAATGTTATTTTATAATGTTAATGATTATAAAAACAAAACTGTGATCAAAATGTGATAATCGATCAAATACTCAATTTGTGTTATTTTATGAATAAAAAAATGGAATATATAATAAAGTTATGAATTTTACTTCATAAATATCCTATATAGTAACTAAAATAACAATTTAATAGTAAAATTTGATTATTTACAATGTTAACATTCATTTTAGTAGAATGGGTAGACTCGCCCCATACGAGAGATTTGTCAGCAGTTCTATAAAAATATACAGTAACAGCGTAACTGTTAATATTTTCTAAAATCGATTTCACAGCTTTAATGAGGTTTACAAAAGTTTGACCACTTGAAAGTTGACAAACTGAAAAAATGGGTAGACTCGCCCCGGTTTACGGTATTTAAAATTCTGACAAAACAAGAACAACAAAAGAGAAAAAGATAAATAGAATTGTTTAAAGAAGGAAAGGTAAGCCCTTAATAGTTTTCCCATATGACTAACTCACAAAGAAGTTCAAGTTACTTTTAAATACTTTTTTGGCAGTTTATTAAAAAAAAATTCTGGTCAACCTTATTAAGATTTTAGAATGGCATTTAGTATGAACATTAAACAAATTTAATTTATTTCATAGAAAGGTTACAACGATTACATTCTCTTTTATTACTTAGAATAAATTTGGTTATTGATAACAGTGTTTACTTGACAAGACAACTTGACAGGTTTTACTATAACTCTTAGAAAGAATAGATGACTAACTAGCAAAATAAGGAAACATTTTGTATCTTCTATGCATGTGCAGATAAAACTTATTTCATTTGAAAACTTCCATCTCCTCTCCTATTTTTAAAAATACATTAGTACTGATTAATGAATTAGAAATGTAGTCTAACCACAAAATGACATAGGGTCTCATTGATTATTTTTGTCAAACAAAACAAAATTAGAAAATAAATTACCATCAAATCCCATTCTATTCAAAGTTCTTTCTTGATATAAAATATAAACTGTTTTTAAAATCAATTACGGATTTCAGTTTTTTCTGAAAACACTGAAATTGCTCAATTTCAAATATCCAAATGAAAGACATTTTTTGATTCTAATAATAGTTTAATAAAAATTAATAGAGTTAGTTTTAGAAAAAAAAGTTTAAAACATAATTCAGTTAATTTACATAAATGTAACCAAATAAATTTAAAAAAAAAAATAGGTACTCCCAACATTTTTTCTTACTTTCGAACCACGAAAAATTATTCTCTTTTAGAAAATGTCCGCATAATAATAAGTAAATACAATTAGAAATTAAATAATGACATTCTCTACAAATTCTCTGAGTTAGTTCTAAAATTTTAAGAGAATAATAAAATATGAATTAGAGTTTACTCACATAGCAGGTTGCAAAATTAAACGCAAAACTAACAGCAAGTAATAGAGACAATGACAACTAATATTATCTTTAAAACGATTAGTGCAGCTTGTAGACCAAGACAGCTGAATGAATTCTGATGCCCATTTTTCTATGCCATAAGGACATCTTATGACATGATTCAGTAAAAATATGTTATCTGCCATATTTCCCTTTTGAAGCAGAATGGAAACCTATTGAAAAAAGAAAGTGTTATAAAACTAACGATTCAAATATCAAGGAAAATTAATAAATAGATCAATAATATTTGAATTACATTTTTGAATTACACAAAAAATAAAAACCACAGTACCAGATATTTTATCCATTTTCGGCTAACTTCTAAGAATTGTTTATCATGAGATGCCTGGCGTTGGAAAGCAAAAATTGTAGTAACACATCTCTTAAGCAATTGTAGCTTTTCAAGTCCAGATGGTGAAACTTCAGTGACTAGGGAAAAATATACATTTCTAAAATAATAAATTGCAGATTTCTTCAACAGAAATAAAAAAAAAAGACTACTTATAAACTAAAAGCATAAGAAAGATAACTTTAACTAAAATATGGCGACAAATTTTCAATACCAACCAAACTCTTTAACCCAGCATCTTTTGTAAAGATTTTAAATTTTAAGAGAAATTTAAGTTTCTATTAGATTCTTGATTCGGCTTCTATACATTGCATTTATAAATTATATAAAAGTAAATTTTTAATTAGAGATTACTTAAATGAAATTTCTATTAAGGAGCCAAAAGTTTTAGATTTTAATCATTGAATTACAATCCAAAATAACAGACTTGAACGGAAAGAACATTAAGTTTTCAGTCAAATTTGATTCATTGTTGCAACAAAATTGTTTCACATTTGTTCCACCAAACACTAAGAATTGTGAGTAGATAGGAAATAAAAATGGTATTTGAAGGGCTAGTTTTAGGATTCAGTACACAGAAGTGCTAGAACTTTAAATTTTTTTCATGATGAGCTTGGTTGCAATATAATTTAGTGACTAAACCTTGACTAAAATCATAACACTGAACTAAGTTCAGTCTATTCAGTGTTAAGTTGTACTTAGAAAACTTGATTTACTGAAAGAACCAAGAATAATAGAACTAGTTTTTTTTGTTCAAGTTAAGCTCCAGTGATATACAAAAACAAAGGTGTGGTAGTTGGATACATTGATCCAAGATACCCAATTGGTTCAAAAATGATGAAAAAATGCATATTTAACATGGGAAAAATCCATTTAGATAGCAAGCTTTTTTCAATTTGAAATGCTAGAACTGCTTCCAAAAATATCAAATCCTTTCAGATTGCTAACTTATGTGGCTCTGGTTTGGTGAAAGTTTAAAATAATCAAGCATTCAGCACTTGTGAGATACAGTCAGTTACCAGATTTCCCAAAATGGAGAATACCAAAGCAAGTGAAAACAACAAAAAAATTTACAAATGTGAAGAACCAATGTGATGATTGATTCTCTGGTCAGAAGGTAGGTGCAATAATGATGAAAGATACATGGAGAGCTCATCTCTATTTATGATCACCCCGATCTTGCACCTAGTGACTTTCATCCTTTCAAGTACCTGAAGTTCTTTTGTGTTGACAATCAGTTTTGGAACAGCCATGAAATTAGATCTGTTGTTACCTAATGTTTGCATTCAATAGCAGCAACTTTCTTTGATGAGAGCATTCAGATATTCATGTCCCCATACAATGTTGTTACCAATGTGAAGAAATAGTTTGACTATGGGACTTTATTAGTTAATAAAAGTTTGTCCCAAACTATATATTTTTTTTTGCTTAGCTGGACTTACTTTCTGTGTTGTGTTTCCCTCATAAATAATATTTGCTATCTTCTGAGTCAGATAGTTGTTTTTGTTTACATGATGTCACTGAGTAATTCAGGATGTGAGTTTCTCCTTATATTTATCATTTAAGTGATATCTGATTTGAGGTACATGGCATGAAATATTAATTGTTTTCTTTTGTGATTACATACATTATTTATTTATTTGTGATATTCATTATATATGGAGGAATCATGTTAAGATAATGATAAGCCAAAAGTTTTCAACAAATGAATTTTCTTAGCATAGGTTAGAAAACAGTATAACAAGCAGCCACCATAAAACCAGTTCAATTATTTGTTATATCACAAGTTTCACCTCAAAGGTTATCGTTATTATAGCAAGAAAAACTGAGATTATTTATTATTCAGCATATGATAGTCTAAGTTTCATAAGTTGTGAAATAAAACTAATTCAATAATAGATTACAAGCCCAAAAATATTTTGAACCTATCAAAAATGCACCAAAATAAACAAAACTATATAGTGTAAAGTTATCTCTTCATATACATCAATAACTACTAAGGCATATTTCTAGTATTTCAAATGGAGTCGAATTTGACATTTGTATTCCTTTTTATTATTCGATTATGTTCAATATTTTTTAACAGAAAATATTTCTTTAAACTTCTTATAATGAAATTTGTTTTAACATATAGATTTTTATTTTATTTTATAAATTGAATTAATACTGATGCAAATAATTCATAAGTATGATATTTTCATATTACAGACAAGCATAGGGAGGAAGCATTCTTTTCCAAGCATTACTAAAAAAACATTGAGATAATGTTTATTTGCATGTTAATTGTAGCTGTAGAGTAATATAAGCACATTGCCAGTATTCAGTTATTCTTTTATTAATAAGTTGTAACATTTATGAAATCAAAAGGGATATTTCTGAATTTATTAAAAACATTAACAGTAAAAAAAAGTTTTATGAATTTACCGCATAAAAAAAATTTATTGCAATACTGCTTTAAAAAATGCTAATATAAACCTTGGTTTTGCTACTAGTTTTTTAGCACTAGCAAACTCTGTGACAGATTTTAAAAAATAAAACCATGCTCTGATTCAGAGTAATATATTTTTTTTACTAATATATACTTTTATTTTCAACTAAACATTACTGCAATCTATGAAATAAAAAAGTTATTTATTTTAGATTTTTTTAAACAATGTTTCATATTAAGTATTAAGTTAGAAACGGAAGAATTTAATAAAAATATTATTACAAATGTAAGATTAATACATTTTTTTTAATTCCTTAAATTTCAGTAGAAAATTTTATTTGTTTAATTCATTAAACAAATTCATTAAATTTAGTAACTATTTGATCAAATGCTTTAAAAAACTTTTCTTGTTTCTTCCTACTTTTAAGTTTATAAACGATAAGAAAAAGTGATTTTCTTTATAGATTCCAATAATTAAATCTGCTTCAAAAAAGAATCAGGGTTGGCAGGTTTTTGACATGTGACAGTTTTTGACGGTTTAAACCATGGTTTAAACCGTCACGTCAAAAACCTCACTGTCAAAAATGTCGAAAATGTCAAAAACCTATATTCATATGTGAAATTTAATTAATACATAAAATTTATATATTTTTTATAAAGGATAGTGTTTCTAAATATGTTCTAGAAAAAATAAATTTAAAATTTTGAAGAAACACTTATATTTTGAATAGTAACCAAAATCTTGTACTTTTGAAAGCTCACATCTTTTGTAATATTATGTATTCATTTTCATGTGTTATTGAAAATCTGCAGTGATATTATTAAGAAATTTATTTATAACCAAATTTAGTGTATAGTATAGATTATACTAAAAATTAGACATTTTTAAAGATAAACATTAGCAGTTTTGTACATTAGACATCTTTTAAAGAAAAATCTTTTTAATATTCTTTTAAATCTTCTTAATAATCTTTTTAACATAAGACAATACAAATTTAAGTGCTTTCTGTTAAATACACAGAGTAGTTAGTGTCGATTTACAGTATATTCAGCCTATTCATTTACTATGCTGAAAATTTAGTTTATCCAAATACTTGTGAATTTCATTTTGCTGAATACGATATAGTTTTGTTGAATATCTAAATATTCAGCTGTTGAATAATTACTTCTTGCTTTCAAGATATGCATTATTTGTATTCTTAATACAAGTGGAGAAAAAAAAATTAAGAGATAAAAATTGTTTTAAAATGATAAGAGTAATAATTATAAATAAATATAATAAACAATATGAATTATATTTATCATTATTCACAAATATAACTACTTTTAAATTCAAATTAACATACTAGATAATAAAGATATTCGGTATAACAAAAATAAATTTTAATAATTAATTTAATTTAAATAAATTTAAATAATGCAAATTAGGGTCTAGAAGTGCAAATCTTAAGAATGGTACAATGCTATCAGAATTGCGTCACATAAACCAAAGTAATATCCTTTTATTCATCTTATATTATAAGTTATTTTAGCCAAACTGTATTAACAAAATAACAAAAATTTAATACCTGAAATATATACTGATATTATATACTTAGCATGAAAATCATAAAAAGCAGTGTTATTTAAACTTACGCACAACTATAAATATTTTATATTAACCAAAATAGTAATAATTTGATTACAATATGTTCTACAGTCATGATTTTGTTTCATTCTCCGCATCACAAATTTTGCAACTAATCATACTACAGCAATACCAAAAAAAAGATGCTTCTTTTTCATCCTTTTTAGCAGTATCATGTCCTAGTCTAAACCTTTTTCTTGTTGATCTACCCTCATCTGGCACATCATATGTTTTTAGAATAGCAGCCAGAATTTTGTGGTTATCTTCATTTTGAGCATATTCTTTTTCTGCTTGGGCATTCATTTATTTCTTATTTTTCCATAATTGTCTTATTTTTTCAAAATTAATTTAATTTAAAAAAAAAAATTTTATACACTTGTATCAAATTTGTATTTATACAACATAGCTTGTAAGTTCCTTATAAATATTAGTTATGTGTTCTTCATATGTTAAAAAGGCATAGTAATAAACTTTTAATTTTCTTAAGTATCAAAAAAAAAATTTTTTTTTCAAAATATAAATATTTAAACAATTTTTGTGCAAAATTTTTCTGCACATGCATTTGAATATAAATTTCGGAGATTTTAAATCTGTTATTTTACCTTAATTTTAATTAAAAAATATTTTAAAACCTGCTGATTACCTATAGTATAATTAAATTTCAATATAATGCATGGCAACTGTTGGTAGTTTTGTAGTTTATATATTTTCTTGGCAAACTTCAGTTTTTGATGGTTTAAACCAGTATTATACCCTTGTCATGTCAAAAACCACTTTTTGACGTCAAAAGCCCAACCCTGAAAAAAATGCTTGATCAAATGTTTAATTTTTAAGACACTGTTAACATTGTGGTAGTTTTAATCAAGCAAAACATGCTCAAAAAATACTTTTTGTGAAAAATTAAAATGAATTTTAAAAATGTAATGAAATTAATAGTTTTTTAATTATAATTATCAGTCATTACTTCAAAACAGTAAAAAGAAGAAAAAAAGATTTTATGAAATTTAAACAACCAATTAGAAATTACTCTTCCTCTAAGAGCTTCATAATTTAGTGTTACAGTCACATAAATTTTAATTTATAAAAATAAGTTATAACAGTAATCTAATTTAAACATTTCCGCAAATAAACATATCTCTTTGTAAAAGCTGAATAGCAATAAAACAAATATATATATTTACTTACCAGAGCTTGTGACAACCAAATTTTGTGTTACATTATAAAGATATTGTTCAATACGTAGCTTTGCCAGCTGTTCAGCATATAAATAAAATGCATCTGAAAGAACATATTCTGCTAAACTTTTTGTTTTCTCAATCACATTGGCAAATATTTCTTTTTCTAGTAATTTAACTTCATACACATATTTTGCTTCAACTTGATAACCATCCTTACATCGACCCTGTACAGAAAAACATTACAGAAATATTAAGAACAAGTAACAAAAAGCATGTTTAAAAACGACTAGAATTATCAAATCTAAAGGTATTCCTAATAAATGAAATTTTTTAAAACATACAAAAACAGGAGAATTTTTGACTGGAAAAAATCCAGTAGTTTGTTGGAAAATCTGGTAGAGTTGGCATATATTAATAGGCACACTAGTCGTTTCAAGAATAAAAACACATACTTATTTTAAATAAAAGCATTTACTATAATATAGCAGTTACTATTTCCAAAGTTAACAAATATTTTAATGATGAATATTCACATGCATTCAGAGCTGTCAGAGATAGTAACTTAAAAACACGATAGAAAAAGCAAAAACAGTATTCTCAACAATATTGTTAAGCATTAAAATGGATGAGATGGTATTATAATAGACAGAAATTTTCATAATATAAAAAACTTACAATGAAAATCACTTATTTTAATAAAAATAAAGATATTATTAAATGACTGAATTTAACTGATAAGTATTAGATAAATATATTTAAAAATATCAGACAATTTTCACATAAATAGTAAGTTGACTGCTTCTGATATCAAAATGATTTTGAAATACAATTTATGTTTTTACATTACTTGTAAAATTATCTAAGAATAGTTTAGCTTTTTATACTTTTAATAAAGTTTGGTAGAAATTAATACCCTCAATACAGGAGTAAGAAGTTCTTAAGAAATTCCTATCAATATTATTTTAAAATTTTACATCAGTTTTTATTAGCAATGTCATAAACAAGATACTTTTAAAGCATTTAACGATGTTTTATTAAAAATGTTTTACCTTCTCTGAAATTTTGTGTTCTTGAAGAGACCACACTGATTCTCTTTTCCTTTTCAATTGAGAATTTAAACATTTAATTTTGGAACGTATTTCAAGAGAATATTTTCTAGACTGTTGATATACATGAATCAACTCATACAAAGGATCATTCTCTACTCCATAAGTTTGCTAAAATAAAAAAAAATATAGCTAATACTTGCTAAAATAATATAATTAGAGATATAAATTACAATAGATTATAAAATAGAAGAAAAAGTACCAGACTCTAATATCTTTAAAGATATTCCCCTTCTGTTTGTTTTTTAATAAAAACATGAAAAAAAAATTTGTAAACCACTTTGATAACAAAAAATATAGCAGATCAAAGCCTAGTTGTGGCACAAGTATTAATGAATACTATTTCATAATTGACATTGGTGCTTTTTGTTCAAAAAAATTTGTTCATGAAAATAAAATTTAATCTTATAGAAAATGTTTTAAATACACATTTTTTAATGAAAACATCTTCAGGAATGTCAACATAATTTTTTTTAAAAAAAATTACGAATGGAGAGTTTCTACCAAGTTATGCTACTATGTGAAACAAATATTATTGCATTACGAACACTGTGATAAATAACAATAAATTTTGTAAAATTCATAAAATTTTATACTAAGTTCTTTTATACATTTTTTAAAGTTACTTGCAATAGTCAAAAGAATTGAAGTCTCTGGACTACAACACACTTTCTTAAAACTCAACTTTAAATCTGTTGTAAAAAATAGATTAATTAAAAAATATGTATTTTCATGTCATATTATGTAGTTGATTAATAGTATCGCTGGACTAATCCCCACACAGTTAAAATTGTTAGCATGGTAACTTAGTACTGATATCCTATTAATGAATACAGAATAATTAATTGTCTTACATAGTCTGGAGTAACGGAAAAAGGTTAGAATTAATAAGTAAAATATATAATGAGGCATACATTTTTATAGTTTATGACAGGATTGAAAAACAAAAAACAGATTTTTTTCCAAACCAGGTTTTTTAGGTTTAAACCAGCTTTTCTTTTAAGCAATATGTATAAACCTTTCAATTCAAATCAACTAATCCATTCCAAAATATTTTATAGCATATAAGTATTTTACTTAACCAATAATAAATGTTTTCAATAAACAATTAAATAATATTAACTTTTGTTCCTTAATATAAGGATAAAATAGAAAAAGAACCGAATATTTTAAACATGTTCTTATACTACCTTACTCCACTTAACATGCAAATAAACACTCAACATTTAAACTTTAGTAATATATGTAAAAGAGTGGTTCCACCTATTGCTTGTCTGTAATGTAAAAATGCTATGCTTCAATACTAATTAATTAAATATTGTATGATGCATATGAAATATACATATTTTTTTATTCTGCATAATCAATACAACTTTTATTATAGGGCAATATATTTATATATTAATAATAATAATTTGAAAAGAATAGAATAATAAAAAGGAACAAAAATGACACAGATTGTATGCATAGTAAAAGTTCAGTTTTAGTACTAATGATTTGATAATAAATAAAGGATAAACTGCTTCTTTTTAACAAAATAAAGCTTTAAGTTTAATAATAACTGAGTTTGTAGTTGTCCTGAAATTTACTAGTTGATACTGATTATTCTTTTAATGCAACAGTACTAACTAAATCTTCTAATTAATAATCTCAAACTGTTATGAGTTGCTTGGAGCTTTATTAATAGAGTTTTATTTGAAAAATTATTTAAACAAATTATGAAGAAACTTTGGAATTAAAAATATGATAGTAAGTAAACTGGTACACATATAATGTACTAAACAATGTCCTGGCCTTTTCTATAGCCCACCACACAGCCTTCTATTTAATTTTTAACTTATGCAGCATTAAATTAAATGAAATACAATGTAAATATTGAAATTAATTCTGAATATTTTTGTGCTAGAATTGATTTTTAATACAAAAAATGTATTTTGAAAATATTACAAAAATGAATAAAATCATAATAAAATACAAATTTGTTTACACTGATAATAGAAAAAAAATTCTTAACATGAACCGAAAAATAAAATATAAAACTTAGACAAGTACTTCATTTCCATTTTAATTTTGATTGTAACGAGCATAGTTTGTCTTTAATAAGATAGAAAAAAGTTTTTCTAACTTTTACTTTAACTCGTACAATAATTACATTATTAAACTAATTTTAAAAGTAATCAGAAAATGAAATTGGTGATGCTAAATTAAAAATTAAGCCTTTTTAAGAAATTTTCATATCAATTTATTTTTAGATAATTTTGCAGGAAAGATACGATATGGAAACATTTAAAAAACACATATTTATGTATGTATGTTTAAAGAAATGCAGATTTCTATTAAATTTAAAAGGGAAAAATATTTATGAGAAAATTTAATAATTTTTCACTTTCCTTTATTTAAACTATTACTAAAACTATTTATATGAACAATAAAAAATGTAAACTTTTAAGAGAAATTTTACAGAAAAAAAGTTTTTTTTAAACCAGCTAATCCTAGTTTATAACTAAAATTTTTTATTTAAAAAATAAAGATAAATTATTAAAAACTTACGTTTATAAATTCTTGATATTTTTCGAGGACTTCAGATTCCAAATATCTTAAATATTCTTCTTTAAAAATAGTTACTTGTTTTTGTAAAAAAATGATGTTTTCCAACTTCTCTCTGTGCAAAATACTTTTTAAATTAGGGTACATATTTTCAGTGGTAGCAACTGAAATTTGATTTTTCTCATTATCATGCAATGATAATTTATTTAAGGGCACTTTAGACAGTTTTTTATTGCACTCATTGGATATATTGCTCACAATTTTAGAATCATATAACTGATTTTCTTTTTTCAAGTTTTTAACACAATTTAAGGAATCAGAAATACACTTTTTCTGTTCATAATTTTTCGTATCAAATTTGTTTTCAATATTTATATCTAAACTCTCATCATCACTAGTCAAGACAATTGGTTTCAAAGAAATTTCTCCTTCATTCAATTTAGTCCTTTCAGTATCTTCAGTACTTTCATTTTCAATTTCAAGATGTTCATTTTTAAAGGCTGCAGATGAAAGAGATTTTAAATCTTCTTCATTATGGAAAGAATCTACACCACTTCTTTCAATTGCAAGATGTTCCCTTTTGTTAAAATCTTCAGTTCCAAGAGATTTCAAAACTTCTTTTGGCTAAAATGCATAACATATGTATGTGTGTCTATATATATATATATATATATATAGCCAGAACATTGTAATTTTCCCCACGAGGGTAACCAATCTAAAAATCTGCCGTTACTTGCTAGTGTGTATATTTTAGAAAATATAGACAACTTTTTAATTAATATTCAAAGTAGTTTGTTCATTTTAAAAAATCTTCTCTATTTTCTTAGAATGTGTTTTTTTCCCTATAATTATCCAATCAATATTTCCTCCTTGTAATATATTTTTGTACAAATCTGGCAACAAAAAAATATTATTAAATTGTTATGTTATTATTTTCTTTATTATTTTTTGAACTACCATATAATGATCTATACTAAAACTAAAAAAGAAACACTATTTTTTTTAAAAAAATTAATAAAATTTAAATTTAGATTTTTGCAATTTTAAGGATAAATAAATTTTGAGTTTGCTCCAGCTTATATGTACTATTCTCATTTTATTCCAATTTTTATGTTCATTTTATAAGTCCGAAAGAGTATATGTTCTAATTTTTTTTTTAAATAAATTTAAATTTTTGCAATCTTAGATAAATAAATTTTGAGTTTTCTCCAGATTATATGTACTATTCTCATTTTATTCCCATTTTTATGTTTATTT